CACACCATCCAAGCACTCCGCCTCGGGACGGATTAACATGGTTAGTTTAAAATAGATGTAAAATTTAATATTTTTTTAATCATGGATTACACATTTTTCTAACATTTGCTTCACATGATTTCTTTTTTAATCTTGATATATATTAATGTTTTCAATATTCTATTTACCAGATTTTTCTTAATAAATTACTTTTTTATATTATGTTAAGCATAACATGCAAAAAAAATACAAACTTAAGAAAAACAATAGAAAATGAACCAACCGGCGACAAATGCGACGGTGGGTGGTGGTGGCGGTGCCGGATATAGGAAGACAGTGGTGGCGGCTCAGCTAGGGCAGGGGCGAACGTCCAAGAGAGTGGGGAGAGCGACTAGGGTTGGTTCATGTTCACAAGACTCTATTTAATCACTATTTATAGAGTCTTGTAGTTAATTACGTACTATCAATAGTTTTCCTGCTCGTTTCTCGCAAACTAATTATCAGAAAGAAAAAACAAAAAAACAAAAAAAAACATATTTTTGTAATCATTGTAACGTCCTCGTGAAGACGAGTGCCGGTTCACAATTTTCAATTTCCAAAATGAGAAACCGTAATTCAATGGACTTGCCAACTCATTTATTCTGATTCGTAAACAACAATTACGAAATTTGGATACAATCACGTTGACTTCCAATTATGCAAATGTCAACAATTTAATCTCAGCCTGTTGTATTCGAGGATTTCATGTACCTGAGAAGTGTGACCCTCGATGGTGCAGATGTAAGCTAGCTGGGACCACAGCTCATTGTAATTCAAACTCGTCCCTAGGGTATAATTAAGATGAAACTAATTTCAGCTTTATTGCCCAACAAATCAAGATTGACGCCTAGCAACTACGCATTATGATTTTCTATATACAAATGAAGTGCTTGCAAGAACCGTATGATACAATTAACGTACAATACGATCCATTTGATTCATATATCCCGATTGAACTAGAGATATTGGTTCACCGAGACCTCTACTAGAAATCATTGACTGTGTAAACGTTCTTAGTAATATAATTTATTTGTGTATGACTCAGAGAAACATATTTACCTAATCATCATGCAATCAGCTCTGGACATAGACTCTATTGATTATAAATTATCATAACACACAAGACATACATGACTTATCATGCGATCGAATTCCCTACTACAACGCACATACTTCACACTAGATTTCGATAGGCCCTTGGAGCGGTCTTCGGTGAGACTCAAGGACAAGTCACGATACAACTGGTCCTCTAGTGAAGTCACAGTGATGTCTGGTCTTAAGGATTAATGGTGTACAACTATATTATAAAAACATCTAGTCGATAATGGAAGCTACTTAGAGATTTCCAGGATGAGAGAGTTCAGTGAACTCATCTATATTAGCACCGCACTCACTTATGTATGTCGATTACTGATGACTATGAGACACAGTACACATACAGTAAGTGCTAGTCACAAAATGAAAAAGACCGGTATCCTCATTAATGGCGTAAACCGTTGACTAGGAACTGGTTTAACAGTTATATTACTCTTATTAAATTATTTCATAATTCAACTAGATCAATCAATAGTAATAGAATAACTGTAAGGACTATATGTACGCACATGCAATAGAGAATATAGAATGTCAAAAAGTGTTTGTTTGTTTTTTTGTTTGTTTGTTTTTGTTTTGATCATTAATACGAATATTGATTGTCATTGTAAGAAGTACGAAAACACCACAACCACAAACTGGCTTGTTGGTCCACCTACTCTAACAACTTTCTTGTTGAGTTTTACTTAGTACCTGAAGTACTGGATATATGTGATTACATTTATGTAACTCTCTAGACATGACATGTGGGAATAAATGTCTCGCGGATAGTGTAACTGCACATACTATAAGATAAGTCACACTTTATCATTTTTTTGTCTCATAGTAGTAAGACCTTTTTGTCAACTACATGAGACACATGTAGATAGATGGTTATGTTAATGTCCACACGGGTTACGCCACTAATGAGGATATTGGCCTTTTCTAATCAAGACTAGCACTTAGTGTATGTGTACTGCGTCTCATCAGTCAACGGTGTTGTGACATCGGCATACATAAGTGGGTGCTCAATAGTTGATGAGTTCACTGAACTCCCTCAATCTAGAGATCTCTAAGTGGTTCCCAATAATCGAGTAGAGGTTTCTTTGATATAGTTGTACACCATTAATCCTTAAGACCGAGGCATCACCGTGACTTCACTAGAGGACCAGCTGTATCGTGACCTGTACCTGAGTTCCACCGAAGACCCCCCCAAGTAGACACGGCCACGGGCCGGTTTTGGGCCCGGAACCGGCCCGAACCGGCCCGTTGACGGCCCAAACCGGCCCGTTGACCGTGTGAACCGGCCCGGAACCGTGAACTGGCCCGTCCTACCCGGGACGGGCCCGGTTCTTAGATTTGGTGAACCGTGAACCGCCGGGCCTTTAAGAAAAAAAAAAAACAAAAAAAAAATTCAAAATTTCCGGGCCGACCCGGAACCGACCCGGATAGGCCCGTGAACCGGCCCGAACCGGCGGGCCGACCCGGCCCGGTGAACCGTGCACTTAGGGGTGGAAATCGGAACGAAGTTTCCGATTTCCGCCGATTCCGATCCGAAAATTTCCGATTTTGGAACGATTTTTTGTAGTCCGAATTCCGAAATTCCGATTTCCGAATTTTCCGAAAAAAATCGGATCGGAATCGGAATTGATATGAAATTTTCGGAATTTCCGAATTCCGATCCGAAAATATTTCCGAACAATTCCGATTTTTTCCGAAATAATTCCGATTTTTTCCGGATTATATATAAATCTTCATACTAAAAGTAGGCCACTACTTTGGGCTGGGCCACAAAAAAGTCTTACAAATATTAGAATTTTAAGTTATTGGCCCATTCAACAAAATAAACCCACCCACCATCCACCTCATCTTTTGCTTCAAACCTAATTATTTGACTTCCTAGCTGCGCCGCTCTGCTTCTCT